TCAGTAATTTAGAGAAAATTAGCCTTTATTCATTTTGCATTAAAATTGTATTGTATAATAGTACTGGATACAATATCAAGAGTATTCTAATTATTGAGTTTAAGTCACCATCAGTGACGTCACGAATCAGATCTAACTTGTAAGGCGGAGTGACCGGCGGTCATAGGTCAGTAGGGTTGACAGGTCTACTATTTCTCAAAGTTTTAATAACCATTTTTGTGATCGGGAACAGCTTTGCCGTTAGATGTTTGTGTAATTTAATTTCAGTAAAATAATTCAACCAGTCTGGATCAATTAAGTACAACAGAGTTTAATTGTTATAACTTAAACCTTGCTAGTAACTTGGTAGAACTTTGACTGACTAGGCGGAAGGATACAATGCTCTGTCTGGGGTAGACGAGACAAGGGAGAAATCAGTGTGGAAACGGGAGCAGCTGGGATAAGAGGTCAAACATCTTACCTCTCCCCAAGACCAGCCCAACATCTAGAGCTGGTCGCCCAAGGTATAGTTGCTATTGTTAATTATAGGGATAGTCTTCTCATTTGCCACTCAGGTCAAGTAGGGAGTGTTAAAGTGACAGGGAGTGAACATATTTAGATTTTGTTTTAGTTTTCTTTTAATAAATTAAATTTGTTAATATTTTGCATTTCATTATTTCCATGTGTTTTATGTGTAAACTTGTCCTGGTCACGTGGTCCACCCGAGGTAAAGTTGGATTGGGCGCCGATTCTAACATCGAATCGGAATTATCATTACCGTGTAATTTATTCCACACTCAAGGTCATCGTTTATAGTGGGGATCAAGCCCCTAGGTTGATTAATTAGCGTGATCGATCCAGACCTCAATCATTGCTCTTGTGTTACTGGTCTGGTGGTGGCAGCGTAGAGGCGACTCTAGGGTTTTGCTCAGAGCCTAGGTCACGTCATACTGGGTGTAGAATCCTAAGTCGGTCAATCGTCTTAGAACCACGTGGCGTGGAGTTGGCTTTGGTAAAAGTTTTTGGAGTCCCTTGGTAGAGAATAAAAAGTAAGAATACGGGTAGAGGGAGTAGAAGGTAGAGAAGTAAAGAGAGAGAAACCCGAACCCGTGTTACAAGCTGCCCACCCACGCTCCCTGCCAGCTGCCCACCCAGGCTCCCTGCCAGTTGCCCACCCACGCTCCCTGCCAGCTGCCCACCCACGCATCCTTCCAGCTGACCACCCTCGCTCCCTGCCAGCTGACCACCCACGCTCCCTGCCAGCTGCCCACCACCCACCCACGCTCCCTGCCAGCTGACCACCCACGCTCCCTGCCAGCTGACCACCCACGCTCCCTGTCAGCTGACCACCCACGCTCCCTGCCAGCTGACCACCCACGCTCCCTGCCAGCTGCCCACCCACGCTCCCTGCCAGCTGCCCACCCACGCTCCCTGCCAGCTGACCACCCACGCTCCCTGCCAGCTGCCCACCCACGCTCCATGCTAGCTGCCCACCCACGCTCCCTGCCAGCTGCCCACCACCCACCCACGCTCCCTGCCAGCTGCCCACCACCCACCCACGCTCCCTGCCAGCTGACCACCACCCACCCACGCTCCCTGCCAGCTGCCCACCCACTCTCCCTGCCAGCTGCCCACCACCCACCCACGCTCCCTTCCAGCGGCCCACCACCCACCCACGCTCCCTGCCTGCCTGCTGACCACCCACGCTCCTTGCCAGCTGACCACCCACGCTCCCTGCCAGCTGCCCACCCACACTCCCTGCCAGCTGCCCACCCACGCTCCCTGCCAGCTGCCCACCCACACTCCCTGCTAGCTGCCCACCCTCGCTCCCTGCCAGCTGCCCACCGCCCACCCATGCTCCCTGCCAGCTGCCCACCGCCCACCCACGCTCCCTGCAGTAGTGGTAAGTACGCCAAATCGCTGCCGTTTTGCTTTTTCCGACGGCAACGATTTGGCGTTGGTGGGTTCATATTTTTTCCTGAGCCGGTTGTAGGCGTAAGGGCTTCTCGTATTTTTCTCCTGGGTCAGTCATTGGTGTCGGGGTATTTTAAAAAAAATCCCCTTCCGGGCAGGTAAATTCATAGGGATGTTTTCATTTTTCGTAACATTTATCATCTTCGTCCTTTGGATATATAACATTTTCGCTCAAGGGGATTAAAAGGCCGGCTCCTGGCGTACCCAAATTTCGTTACCCCGGTGACCCATGCACAGGCATCGCTAATGACCCCAGTGACCCATGCACAGGCATCGCTAATGACCCCGGTGACCCATGCACAGGCATCGCTAATGACCCCAGTGACCCATGCACAGGCATCGCTAATGACCCCAGTGACCCATGCACAGGCATCGCTAATGGACAAATGACGTCATCAGGTGGCCAGTTTTCATCTTCCCTGAATAAATCAGTTGACTTAAATACCATATTTAACCCCATTGTCCTAAGATTTTGCCATTTTCAAAGGTAATTATATAGATAAGATCGCATTAAAAATGAAATTGCACACAATGCCTTTTGGGGGATCTCCTATTTATTTCCATTCTATATCAAGCAAAACATCAACTAGCGCTATTAGATGAAGTGCAGTAGGACTATTGGCAAATAATAACCCCTTTCTTCTCCATTTATAGGCATCAATAATGTTGCTCCATTAATATTCAGAAGGTCCTATTTATTCCCCTTACTTATCAAGAAGCTTTATATTTATAGTGTCCGGCTAAGGATCGTTTGTTGAGCATAGGAATGAAATGAAACAAAGGGGAGCAACACAGTGCATGAACTAATGTGTATTTTCGAGTTCGTCCCGTTACCTGTATTTACCCAGGTCTTTTCCTAAATCTAAAATCTTATTCAATTAATTCCCATTGTTTCCTATTGATACGTTTAATAGGATATTAATATCCTCCATTACTATGACCATTCAGTCACACCTCTATCATGTCGCCCTATTTCTTCGTCTTTCTAGAGAATGCAATTTAAGCCTTGTCAATCTTTCTTGAAGGATCGTTTATTTCGCATAGGGCAAATTAAAATGAAAACCCACTATCAACCATTTGTATGAAAACAGTCCCCTGCCAGGCGTGGTGACTTCAATGCGATTCAGTAGTAATCCAATATTGCTGCATAAACGCATAAATATATTTGCACGTGCGAAAATATATATGCACATCTCACATTCGCTCAAAAAACATGCCTCCCCTCACCTTACTGTAGCATATAACAAATCAAAATACTCATTCAGTAAAAGCAAGCCTCTCATGTTTTGAAATAAGGCATTCTGCAGTTACCTTCTTTTCTGACGTCATCATCATCCCTAATGCGGTGCGAGGCGCCAATGCGCTCAAAGCTTCTAGGCCACGCGCTAAATGCGGATCCTAGGAGGTTCACACATTAGTGCGAACTCTTAATCACTCATATGCCTCAACTGTACTCTGTGACATCACAGGTGATATTCTGGTACCTTTGCTCGTATTTTTTCGCTCATTGCTCATATTTTCTGTTATTCATTTCATAAACCCTATCAAACCATCCTAACCTAACTTATTATATAACAAACAAATACATTCTTCAGAACAGTTGTTGTTTAGTGACATCACGAAAAGCGACCTCAGTATAGGGATAGGGTATTGTTGGCAATTAGCATATAAGTATCAAGGTATCACAGCACCTGACTGGTCAACTATGTGTGACGTCACCAGATAACCAATGCGGCCTTTAGGGTCCTACTGGCATGTGTACTGTTTCTTTTGTTATTATTCAAAATGGCTAGACTGGCCATCTCCACCTAACCTAATGTTACAGCCCTATTGGGTCGCAACTGGGTTCTTTCTCTGATGTTAGTAGAGTTTGGGTATCCGGCCCCAAGTTAGTAGTGGCTTTCAAGAGGTGCGTTCCATAATGCAAGTAAATTAAAGGGGAAGGGATAAAACTTTACTAAATTAAATATATAATTACCATCACCATAAATAAATATATAAATTATCACACAGGGGGGGGGTATAAACACTAGAATATACAATGTGGTCTTCCTCTGAAGACGCAGAGTGTTCCACGGTGCTCAACGATGCTTAGCCCTTGGTCCTCTTGTGGCCTCACGATGAATCCTTCGATTCTCTAGAGTCTACCCTGGCCACAGGCCAGCCAAATCACAGTTCCACTGGGGGCACCGTCGTGGAGGCCTTCAACCACAAATCCAGCCTGTAGCTGGCAGGTTCCAATCAGTTCCGCTGGTTAGGCCACTCCACGACCGATACTAGGGTTGCGAGCCCTAGGCAAGAGCCTCGTGTGACTTCACAGATCACTCTCCTCACCACAACACCCCAGTGGCTAGTCTTCTCCACTAGTCAGCACCCGGGTACGACAATCCCTGGATCTGCCACCTCACAGGCAGGCTAACACAACAGTGTTCATCCGAGGGGTGACTCACAGTTTCAGCGGCAAATGCGTGGAGGTTCTACGGCTGCCTTGGGTAGACTGATCCAAAGTTCATTACAGCAGTCCCAGGTCGACTCTGTAATCAGACACGTCATCAGTACTAGTTACACTCTAGGGCACCTAACTTACAGGCTTATACACAAACGCCCACCTATCCACTCCATAGATGGCGTTGCTGTCTAAGCGTCACCTCACCAGAGGTCAGCAGCGGCTATGTCATGAGCTGAACAAGACGGGAAAACCAGCCCTTGTGGCCGGTATAGCTCGTCCTCACTAGATGGCGTCGTCCATTTGGAGGGGGTTTCGGGAGCTGACCCACAGATAGCGCAGTCGTCACTGCTCCGTGCTCGGACGCTGGGCTCGGGTCCGTAACACCTAATCAGAGGTTTAAAAATATACATTTTAGTCATCCACAACTGTAATCATTATGCACTGATAAGTTCAAAATTAAAATAGATGCCCAAATGTCGTACTGCAATTTAAGAAGAATCGTATGTCTAGCCGCTCAGTAGGTAAGTTGTCCTAATATCCATTCTCATCTAGGGCTGGAGAATAAATTTTTTATACATTTATATTATTTTATTCGCAGAAGCATAGTTTACTTTCTAGTGATATGACAAAATATGCATTTCACGTTAGAGCGATAAACTAGATGCCGATTGCAATAATCGCCCTAGTGTGGCTACTGCTGCTTCATTGCAAGGGGGAGAGCAACATTTCAGTTCCTCAGGCATTTGCATAAACGAGGGATATCCCCACAGTAACAGCACTTATGCTGTGCTGTATAAAAATTATGCGCTTTATACTACACAAAACTGTTTTTCTCGTACATCAGGCAATTCAGTACAGCGAAAAAAATGCGTTTGGAGATGTAATTTTTTTTTATGCATTCTTAAGTTCAATCAAAACAGCCTAACCCATCCACTCCTATCCCACTCCATCCAGCACTAACATTTCCTCTCCATTCCAAATCTAACCCAACCTAGATCCAACTAGCAGTAACATATCCCATCCTTGTATGAATATTCCCTAACCTAGCCCTATCAGGGCCCAATCCTATAGAAAGCGACGCCAGCCTTACCCATCCTACCTTTCCTAACCTATCCTACTCCAACTAGCACTATCATATCATCCCCATTCCAAACCTAAATCAACCTAACCTATCTTACTCCAACTAGCAGTATCATATCCCATTCCAAACAAAGACCTAGCCCAAACCTAGTCCAACTAGCACTATCCTAACCCATTCCAAACCTAACCTATCATGCGCCAGCTAGCATAATTGTGACGTGTTCATTCCAAACCTAACCTAACCTAGTCTAGCTGACTGGTGCTATCACATCTTATCCTCCAACCCAAACATAACCTATCATACTCCAGCCAGCACTATCATATCCCATCCTACAATCAAAACTAAACCTAACCTATCCTAATCTAACTGACTGGTATTACCACATCCTATCCTCTAATCCAAACCTAACCTATCCTATCCTCCAATCGAAACTATGCCGAACTGGACCTAAAACTAGCCCAGACTAGCTAATTCTGATATATTTAGTCCTATCCTCCAATCCGGGCGTAGTCTATAACCATGCCTATCCTTTCCGATCCCAATCCTAACCTATCACAGGCATGCTTGTCCATCTTTTAATTATATCAAGGGCTGTATATCGCACATTTTATCATTTAAGGCAGTGTCTGGGATGCTCCCGGACGCAGGTTCGAATCCTCGTCACGGCCCTAGTGGATTTGTTCATGATAATGGCTGATGACTATCCACAAAATATAGAAAAAGAAAATAAGGTATCTAGGTGATTATTTCAGCCAATGTTATTATCCTCTGTTTTATTTTAAAAATATTGCCTTTACATGGCTCTGTATATTCGAATATATGCATATTTTTATGTGTGTAATAATAAACACTAAAATGTATAACTGTATTCATCTTTACCTACTGCATTATATTGTCTGATGAATGTGGGAGAGGCTTACAAGAGAGCTACATGGGATGGGTCATAGGATGCTTGGTGTGTTTTACCTGAGCAGCTGTAAGTTTTGTTTAATCGACTGAGCTACGACACGGTTAAAATTTTTGAAACCGAAGTTCTACTGAACTTACTGGATCCCGTAGCCTCTCCGAGGCACAAAGCAGGCTTTTACACAACCCCCCCCCCCCCCCCCCCCCCTGCACCCGAGCTATGTCAATAGGCCGTTCTCCCTCTTCGCCCTTACATCATCACACACAGAGATCACACTAACCTGATGCATCAAATGAACAAATCCACAAGGGCATTGTGGATTTGTTCATTTGATGCATCACGTTATTGTGATCTCTGTGTGTGATCATCCATTATCCTTTTAAAATTAGGATCGTCCTCCCATCGCTGTGCATATTGGGAAGGAGAATTGCTGTCATTACTACTACTGCTGATGACGCAAGTCCGTATAAATGACGTATCCCTTAAATCCCTATTCTTCCAATTCACTTGTTCTACATTAACACTCGCTTCAACAAGGTTCATAAAAATATCATCATCGCTGTCTGATATTGTTTCCATTACTACGCACTTAGATGTGGAAGGACCCTCTAAATTTGATGTAACCTGGGAGGGAGAAACATTAGATTTTATAGGGCGTACTCCGATACTACTCACATTGGGAGTTGGCCTTCGTAATTTTCTCCTTACTGCCCTGCTCCTCCTACTGAGGGATATCGTAGGTGTTCCATTCCTGGGCATATCCCACACGCGCCAAGGATCCCCAGCGGCAGTAGCAGCAGCCCGAGATAACTCCGCATTTTCAAGCAGGTGCATGTTAGGAGTTTTCTTTATGGATGATACTAAGATACTCAGGGATGAGGGGTTAAAAGTTATGTATTCCTCAAAGGGTCCTCAAAGTTATGTATTCCATTTCCACAGAAGAAGCAAAGGACATGATCGCTGATGCCTGAAAACATGAAATACAGCATGCAACTACTGCATAAAAGTAGGGTGTTCACAAGAAACAGAAGTATATTCCCCTGTTTATCTACAGTTCTAAAATTTCGTTTTTAGCAGAATAAATGTAGAGCTTATTATTATTATTATTATTATTATTACACTTACCGAGGGAAAAGAAACCTGCTTCTGCTAGTTGCCTGGATGTTTGTTTCACAGGCCAGGTTAGGTCAGAGGTTGCCAATCTGCTCTTGTATGAAGACAAACGAGGATAGGTTGGGGCACTATATTTAGTCACCCCCATATTATTATTATTATTACTATTGACGGAATAACCGACAGTCTAATATGATAGATGATAAATTATTACACATGCAAACCTATTTTGCTAGTAATATTACATTAAATGTTAAAAAGCCATTACCTTTAGCTTTGTGTAAATTGGGCGAGAAAAAGAATATTCCATATTCAAACGCAATCTCGCTAATTTCTAAGGGGACGTTTTCCCACTTGGTACCAATAATAAAAGGACAGAATGGTGATGCACTGTGGTGTCTGCTGCGAGGAGTGTCCCCCTCAACCCATGCTCCTATCACATAATTGCAAAAGGCGCAACAACAGTAATCAGTCACTCTCAGATAATAGAACCCATCCTGCACTAGAGCTAAGGGGGCCAGCCACGTGACAGTCCAGATAATAAAAGTATCTAATCGAATTCGTTCGCATTTTAGCCTGTCCTTGCTGTAGAACTTCTTAGCACGTGCTTGTTCCATTGTGTATATTCTACCTCCCAGGCTGTATTGAGGATATATATACCCCTTCTCTCTCAGGTGCTGAATATCGCCATATATGTATCTATTAAATGTAATTGAGCAGACCGTCTGTAACCTGACCTGAGGCGTTAATTCTTTTTAATATATAAACTAAAACGGCTCTAGATGCTCATGTAAATAGCAGCTCGGCTACCTTATGAATTTTGGCGTTTAAAAAACTTATCATTTTATGTAGACACCAATTGCACTAGACTTTTACTTGCATATTTCCCTCGCATTTTAGCAAAACCATATAGCATACAGTAGCGCATAGAGGAAGATAAAACATGTTATGACGTTAGAGGAAGATAAAACATGTTATGACGTTAGAGGAAGATAAAACATGTTATGACGTTAGAGGAAGATAAAACATGTTATGACGTTAGAGGAAGATAAAACATGTTATGACGTGATCTTATGCGGTGTAAGTGATCTGCAAGTTGGCGGGGCGGCCAAAGGTAATTAAGGGGGATGCGGGGTAGTGGGGTTAGGCGGGAGGGTTGATATTAGGGTGCTACATCGTGACAGACCTGAACAGAGTTGCCGGTAATATGTAATGACAAATATGTTTTTTGATATTTACTATAGGTGCTCTTCTGAAATAAGTACTTTCAACCCCACTCGTCTCGGTACACGTGTCGTTGCTGCTCCTTCTCAGGATGCTGCTTCCCGCTTGGCTGCCTTGTCCTGCCTTGGCGAGACCCCCGTTCGGGTCTCGAAAAACGCTCAGTTGAATGCCAGTGTTGGCACTATTTTGCTCCCGCCCCATGTTGCAACCGGTGTTCGGGACCTGCGCGACTGCCACGACGATATTCGACATATCCTCGCTGCCCAGGGCCATTCTATTCTCCAGGTGGACACGTTTACTCGTCCCCCTCGTGGTAGTCGCCGTCAACCCCTCCGGGTTGTGAAGATTACCTTTGATGGTAGGACCCTTCCACCCTCTGTCATTCTTGCTGGTGCCAGGTGCTCTGTCCAGGAGTACATTCCTTCTCCTCGGCTCTGCAACAAGTGCTGGAGGTTTGGGCATGGTGCCCTCCGCTGCTCCGGGACTGTCTCTCTCTGTCCTTTGTGTGGTGGCGAAGGTCACTCTAAGTCGGAGTGCACTTCTCCCCAGGCTCGTTGCCTCAACTGCGGTGAGGCCCATCCTACCTTCTCCCGTGCGTGTGTCCATTACAAGCTTGAGGCAGCCGTCCTCAACCTGAAGCACCGGGAGCGTTTATCTTTTCCTGAGGCGAGGCGCCAGGTTCGCCGGCTCCCGCCTTATGCTAATATCTCTTATGCTCGCGTGTTGCGCTCTTCCTCTCCTCGTCCTTCCCGCCTTCCTCAGACCGTTTCCGGGCCTTGGACCCTGATGCGCCCACTGCCCCCTCCTCTGTTCCTTTGGGTTCTCTCCCGAAGGATCCTCCTCCTGGTCCTCTGTCTGGGGTTCCCCTTCCTTCTACCCGGTCTGTCGTGTCTTCTGTGTCTTCTTCCTCGTCCCCCTCCGGTCCTCCTTCCCATCCTCTTCCTCCATCTATCAGCTCTCCCCACCGCCTGTCGGTGCGGGCGGATGTCCATCGCTCTCCTAACGGCCGTCGTGTGTGCTCTCGTTCGGCTTCTCCGTTGAGACACTGGAATCCGTTGCCCGGTACGTAGTTGCTGGGACACCTGTCTCTTTAAGTCAGAAGCGTAAGCCTGGCTCCTCTCCTTCCTCTTCCCCGGCGGGTAAGAAGGCTTCGCTTTCTTCCTCAGCTCCTCCTTCTGGCTCTGTTGCTCCTTCCCCTCCCGTTTCAGTGCTTGCGCCCCTGTTCCTGCTATGGAGGTTTCTTTGGACCCTGCTTCCCTTTCGGTTGCTGCTCTTGCTGGGGTGCGCTCCCCTCTTTCTACTCCCCCTCCTCCTGCTGCTGTCCTTGACGGCTCCT